CTCCCAGGTTCAAGTGATTCTTGTGCCTCAGGCCCCCAGGTAGCTGGGATTACAGGCGCCCACCACTATGCCCGGCTAATTTTTGTATTTTTAGTAGAGATGGGCTTTCTCCATGTTGGCTAGTCTGGTCTTGAACTCCTGACCTCAGGTGATCTGCCTGCCTCAGCCTCCCGAAGTGCTGAGATTACAGGCATGAGCCACTGTGTCTGACCATTTTTTTTTTCTTTTTTAAAATTCAAGATGGAAGAGGTAGACTTTTTTAAATTGCTTAGAGACACATACTCTCAGTTTTAAAGTAAGGATTTGTCTCTGGAGTTTAAATAGAACTGCGGTCAACTTATATGAAGAATTAGAAAAAGTAAGCTCTTCATATTTTGTAAAACACATTTGCAAGCATCATCTTATTTGATCCCAATGGAAGCCCTGTGAAATAGGCAAGGTTTGGACAACTTTCTTCATTTTATAGATGAGGAAATAAAGACTTAGGGTGGCCCTCTGAATAATTAAATGGAAAAGCAACATTTGATACCTGCCAGGACTTCTGATTCCTAGTTCAGATCCCTTTTCATTCTCCAAAGAACATCATTCAATAGCTTGTGCTCTTTTTTTTTTTTTTTTTTTGAGACGGAGTTTCACTCTTGTTACCCAGGCTGGAGTGCAATGGTGCAATCTCGGCTCACCGCAACCTCCGCGTCCTGGGCTCAGGCAATTCTGCCTCAGCCTCCTGAGTAGCTGGGATTACAGGCATGTGCCACCATGCCCAGCTGATTTTTTGTATTTTTAGTAGAGACGGGGTTTCACCATGTTGACCAGGATGGTCTCGATCTCTTGACCTTGTGATCCACCCGCCTCGGCCTCCCAAAGTAGTAGGATTACAGGCTTGAGCCACCGCGCCTGGCCATGCTCTTGAGAGCTTTCATTGCTGGGGACACTTAGAAAAATTTCGATTTCTTCCTCTTCATTCATTCTTTCACCTTGATTTTTTGCATGCTTAAAAGTATTTTATTTCTCATACATGTATTGCTTTAAAGAATTTAGTAGTTGTCAGGTACAGTGATACATGCTTGTAGTCCCAGCTACTTGTGAGGCAGCTGAGGTGGGCAGATCACTTGAAGCCAAGAGTTCAAGGCTGCAGTATACTATGATTGCACCTGTGAGTAGCCACTGCACTCCAGCCAGGGCAACATACCAAGATCCCGTCTCAGCCAGGTGCAGTGGCTCACGCCTGTAATCCTAGCACTTTGGGAGGCTGAGGTGGGTGAATCACTTCAGATCAGAAGTTCAAGACCAGCCTGGCCAGTATAGTGAAACCCCCTCACGCCTGTAATCCCAGCACTTTGGGAGGCTGAGGCAGGCAGATCACTTGAGATTAGGAGTTTGAGACCAGCCTGGCCAATACGGTGAAAAGCTGTGTCTACCAAAAAATAAAAACAAAAAATTAGTCAGGTGTGGTGGCACATGCCTGTAAGCCCAGGTACTTGGGAAGCTGAGGCAGGAGAATTGCTTGAACCTGGGAGGTGGAGGTTGTAGTCAGCCAAGATCATGCCACTGCACTCTAGCATGGGCGACAGAGTGAGATTCTGTCTCAAAAAAAAAAAAAAAAAAAAAAAAATCCCATCTCAAAAAAAAAGGTTAAAGAATTTAGTAGTGGTTTAACTGAGGGTATGGCTTATGAAATGCATTGTGTTTTGTAGATACCTATCTGGAAGCAACAAGCCAGACCTGGAGATGGACCTGTGATCTGGGTAAGACAGTTAATACAAAGAGTACCGACGCATTATGACTTGTAACCTCTTGGTGTTCTGTATGTTTTGGTAAAGCGGAAGTAGCCTATGCAGTAGAGAAAGGCTATGGTCATTATTAATAAATTGATCCTTTTGAGAATAGATGTTATTTGGTCTAAGGTGGAAATACTATAGGTATATTTTCTTTTAACTTTTTGTTTTGAAATTATTATAGGAATGATTTTAAATGGTAGATGTATTTGTGATCTCCTAGACTCTTATCCCTTTAGCAGAGGAAGGAATTTTGGCAACATGTAGTCTTGCTACACATTAGAATTATCTGGAGACTGTGTTAAAAATGTAGTTTTCGGCTGGGCGTGGTGGCTCACGCCTGTAATCCGAGAACTTTGGGGGGCCAAGGTGGATGGATCACTTGAGGCCAGGAGTTTCAGACCAGCCTGACCACTGTGGTGAAACTCCATCTCTAATAAAAATACAAAAATTAGGCCAGACATAGTGGCTCATGCTTGTAATCACAGCACTTTGGGAGGCCGAGGCAGGTGGATCATTTGAGGCCAGGAGTTCGAGACCAGTCTTGCCCATTTCTACTAAAAAAATACAAAGATTAGCTGAGCGTGTTGGCATGCACCTGTAATTCAGTTACTCTGGAGGCTGAGGGAGTAGAATTGCTTGAACCCAGGCGGTGGAGGCTACAATGAGCTGAGATTGCGTCACTGCACTCCAGCCTGGGTGACAGAGAGAGACCCAGTTTCAATAAATAAATGAACAAATAATGTGGTTTTCTGATTTAGTAAATCTAGAGAGCAGTTCAGGAGTTAGTGTTCTTGATGAACTCCCAGATGAATATGACTGGCATTTGAAAAATACAGATCTACTCCCACCCCTTTATGTTTCAGGGAAGAAATAAACACAGAAAAGCAAAGTGAGTAGCTCAGAGTCGCATAGTTGGTGAGTGGCAGAACTGGGTCTCAGACCTTGATCCTTTCCAGTACAAATCTACATGTCACCTTAACCCATTCCCCTTAAGAATGGAGGCCAGGGTTGGGCATGGTGGCTCACACCTATAATCCCAGAACTTTGGGAGGCTGAGGCGGACGGATCACCTGAGGTTAGGAGTTTGAGACCAGCCTGGTCAACATGGTAAAACCCCTTTTCTACTAAAAACTTGGGAGGCGGAGTCAGGAGAATTGGTTGAACCTGGTGGGTGGAGGTTGCAGTGAGCTGAGATCGAGCCATTGAACTCCAGCCTGGGCAAAAAGAGTAGAACTCTATCTCAAAAAAAAAAAGGAGTTTTTATGCTAATAAACATGAAAACAAAGTGAAAAACAACACTGATTAAATGTAACAAACTCCTAGTCTCTGGATATTTATTTAAAATTATGTATCATTTGTCTGGGTGTGGTGGCTCACACCTGTAATCTCAGCACTTTGGGAGGGCGAGGCGGGTGGATCATCTGAGGTCAGGAGTTTGAGACCAGCGTGGGCAACATGGTGAAACCACATCTCTACTAAAAACACAAAAATTACCTGGGTGCAGTGGCACGTGCCTGTAATCCCAGCTACTTGGGAGGCTGAGGCAGGAGAATCACTTGAGCCCTAGAGGTGGAGGTTGCAGTGAGCCAAGATTGTGGCCATTGCACTCCAGCCTGGGTGACAGAGCGAGACTCTGTCTCAAAATAAAAAAATTATTTATCATTTGATTGGCTTTACTCATTTATTTAACATATTTATTGAGTGTGTTTTATATGCCAGGCAAAGAACAGATGAAAAACCCTGGCCTCATAGAGCTGACATTCTCAGTTCTATTGCCAGCAGGTGATCTGGTGCTCTCACATGAAAGCCCAAGCCCCTAAGTTCTGGGGTTAGGAGCATGGGCTCTGGAGTCAGGTGTACTGGGTTTAAGTTCCAGACCTCTCATTGGTCAGCTGTGGGATCTGGACAGGTTATTGACCCTCTCTCTTTAATGTCTCCTTCTGGTCAGTGGAGTTGTGAGGCTTAAATGAGATACTGCACCAGAAGCCTTTTCCTGGTGTCTGCTACTGGTGCTCAGGAAGTGTTGGCAGTTACTGTTAGCAGTGGTACCTAACCCCTGTTACAGATGGTCCTTGTGCACAAGAAGGCATCCCCGTTGCTAAATAGCTCAGCTGATTCTGAGTCATGGTCTTATTCCCTGTCCTAGGGAAACTTGGAGGGGAAGAACCTGTAGCCATGTCCCCCTTACACATCTCATGGCAGCACAAGGTGGGGAATCCTGTTGCAAGCAGTCTCCCCACCTCCTCTGGCAGATTTCTCTTTGCCTCACTGCTGTCCTGTTGTAGGGCATAGGTAGGCCTCACTGAGTGAGTAGAGATACTAGTGAGTAGAAGTGAGTAAAATTCAAGAACACTAAATCCTGAACCACTTTCTAGATGTACTAAATCAGAAAACTATATTTTTAATACAGTCTCTGAATAATTCTTATGTGTAGCCAGACTACATATTGCCGACATCCCTTCGTGTGCTAAATGGGTAAGAGTCTAGGACATCACAAATGTATCTACCACAGTAGTCATTTAAAATCATTCCTATAATAATTCTCATGCCTATAATCCCAGCACTTTGGGAGGCTGAGGCAGGTGGATTGCCTGAGGTCAGGAGTTCGAGACCAGTCTGATCAACATGGTGAAACCTCATCTCTATTAAAAATACAAAAATTAGCCAGGCGTGGTGGTAGGCGGTTGTAGTCCTAGCTACTTGGGTACTCAATTAAATAAATAAATAAATAAAATTTAAAAAACTATTATAGGAATTATTTTTTTTTTGAGATAGAGTCTCGCTGTATCATCTAGGATGGAGTGCAGTGCTGCTGTAACCTCCACCTCCTAGGTTCAAGCAATTCTCCTGCCTCAGCCTCCCAAGTAGCTGGGATTACAGGCATGTGCCACCATGCACAGCTAATTTTTGTATTTTTAGTAGAGATGGGGTTTTGTCATGTTGGCCAGGCTGGTCTCAAACTCCTGGCCTCAAGTGATCCATCCGCCTTGGCTTCCCAAAGTGCAGTGTTGACAGGTGTAAGCCACTGCGCCTGTCCTCCTATAATAATTTCAAAACAAAAAGTTAAAAGAAAATAATGCCTATAGACCGGGCACAGTGGCTCATACTGTGAGCCACTTAATAATCCCAGCACTTTGTGAAGCCAAGGCGGGTAGATCATGAGGTCAAGAGATCGAGACCATCCTGGTCAACATAGTGAAACCCTGTCTCTACTAAAAATACAAAAGTTAGCTGGGCATGGTGGCGCACGCCTGTAGTCCGAGCTACTCGGGAGGCTGAGGTGGGAGAATTGCTTGAACCTGGGAGGCGGAGGTTGCGGTGAGCCGAGATTGTGCCACTGCACTCCAGCCTGGGTAACAACAGCAAAACTCCATCTCAGAAAAAAAAAAAAAAGAAAATATGCCTATAGTACATCTGTCTTAGACCAAATAACATGGAGCATGGTGGCATCTATAGCTCACTTGCACGTCCCAGTCAGTATATTCCCAGCAGCTTAAAAAAACTTTGATAGGAGGCTGGGCTCGGTGGCTCCTGCCCGTAATCCCAGCACTTTGGGAGGCAGAGACAAGGCAGATCACTTGAGGTCAGGAGTTTGAGACCAGCCTGGTCAACATGGTGAAACCCCGTCTCTACTAAAAATACAAACATTAACTAGGCGTGGTGGTGCGTGCCTATAATCCCAGCTACTTGATAGGCTAAGGTGGGAAAATCGCTGGACCTAGGAGGGGAAGGTTGCAGTGGGTCAGGATTGTGCCACTGCACTCCAGCCTGGGTGACAGAGAGAGACTCTGTCTCAAATCAACAACAAACCTGTATATATGAATTGGAAGATGTTAAGAGAGAAACAGAATTTGGGTAGGGCAGAGATTCTGGCAAGAGGTGGGAGAAGATAAAAAATTGATTCATGGGAAGAATGCCTTTAGCTGGAGCTTGTGTGGTAGAAAGAGGTAGAGAAGGTTTCTGCAGATAGAGGGGAATGATATGAGCAGACCCAATGGGAGGAGTGGTGGACTGTTTTGGGGGCATGAAGGGTGGGATGCATCTGGGGAAGTCTAGAGACTAGGCATTCATTTTGGATGCTCTTTCTGTTTTGCTAAGATAGACTTAGAGCCAAAGGCAGCACGCAGGCTCTTAAAGGCACAACATCCCTAGTCTTAAGTATTGTTCCTACCTCATAAGGTTTGTATAGGGCTCAAGTAGAATGATATTTGAGAAAGAAAGTGCCTTTTAAACTCTGAAATATTGTGGAAATATAAGATGGTCTTACTAATGTTGCTAGATGGCTTTTATTTCACAGTGCTATTCTCTGTGAGAGTGTTTTTCTTTGGAAGAACTCAGAGCACCACATGTGCTCATGTCCCTTCATCATCTCCTTTCAGCCCTTTGCCAGTATGAACATCCACGCTATGACAAAGCTGTGTGGGAGAAGCTGTCTTTTTCTTTCTCCCTTCGTGGCTAGATGAAGGCTTGGCTAACTTCTTCTTTTAAAAAATATTTTTTCCTTTCTTTTAATTGCAAAAGTGGTTCCAAACTAGAAATTAAAGTCCTCCTTCTCCTCTCCAGGCTGACTCCAGAAGCCTCCTTTGTTATTAGTTTGGAAGAGATCCTGGCAGATGTTTTCCTCTGCATTCATATGCATGCAAATGTACTTCTGAATGTGCACATGTGTCTTTATATACATATACGTGTGTCTTTATATACTCATAGCTTTTAACAAATAGCAGGGGGCACTGGGCATGGTGGCTCATACCTGTAATTCCAGTAGTTTGGGAGGCTGTGGC